TCGACGCATAATCAAAGACAACCACGATGCCCCTCGGAACTCGAAACATACAATGTCCCGTCTTCAAGACTGTAAGGTTTCTGCATTGCTCATCAACCCTAGAAAAAGTTCCTTTCCACAGGCCACCCAATGACCCAATGTCAACAAGGTGCCTACAAGGTTCCCACCCCTACCCGCTCAGTGATTTCACTCGTTTTTCCATGGAAACTGGTAGGTGCTGTGCTGAGTCTATCAATGCCCTCTCAAGGAAGCATGGGCGTCGTCTAGCAGGGACAAGCAATTCACCACCAAGCCATGCAAGTCCGCGTTGGAGGTGGCGCCGTCCCACCTCAGACTCAGACGAACGAATCAGCTAGCTGACAGATTGACTTGACTAATTAATCATGCGCGTTGTAAAAACTGAAGGCCATGAATTATAGTCAAAAGGTCATGGCAAGAATCACGTTCGCAAAATGACAGGCTAGGCACACCCATTGGCTCAAAATTTGGTGGGACAGAAGGCAGTCGTTCTGTAGTTGACGCCGACCCTCAACTGACTTCCCATCCGGCAAGTGGGCCAGCCCCCGCTCGACCTTGCTTGGCGCAAGGGATGCGTGGTTGATTCTTGGGTCGGGCGCCAATGACCGCTGATCTGCCATGGATTGAACTTGAATGATGGCCGTGCACAAATCTGCGATCGCCAAAGTTTCAAGGTGCACTCCACAGCATCCAACGATTTGTCTGCCACATTCCTTGATCACTTCAAATGGTTCGATATCTTGGGAGAGCACACCATGACACTGAGAGCTGAGAGTGGTCTCGTAGATCACCTTCAAGTTCAGAAGCGCAGGAGGAGTCAGTGCCGCCATGGGAAGCCGATGCACGGCTTGCACACATAATACTTCGCAAGTACAAAAAGGCTGACCTTGTGAGCCTTCAACATGAAGTCTCAATGACAAGCCTTCCAGAATTTCGCAAATAAGTATGCACTCCACAAACGGTCACAACTCCACAAATCGAAATCGTCACGCATTGAACTAGCGACTTCGACATTCAAAACGCACTCAGGACTAGGTTACTACGCTGCACATCAAATCGGCTCAAAACTGATGAGTGATTCGTGACATTGAGGAGCAAACTTTTTCAGGGAAATGAAGATCTGCTCTCTAGCCATTCAAGACTATCAGACTATCAGTCAACCTCTTCAGGATCTGAAGCGCGTGGGATTTCTTCTTCTGGCAGTTCTTCTCCCTCATCCTCAGGCTCAGGAGCGTCATGCGCAGAGCTGGCTGCAGATTCAGCAGCAGCGGTGGCTTGGTCAGAAGCAGCCGTTTGCGAAGCATCAGCAGCGGGACCATCTGCCTTCAACTTCCCGGCCTTCACGGACTCCAAAACAGCCTTCATCATTTCAGCCTGATGCGCAGAGGTCAAACTGAGCAACGACACTAATCCGAACACAGTTTAAAAGAAGGTGTAGTTCTGAATCCACTCACTGTCAGTTATGGCTAGGTGTTGCCAAGCTGCGCGAATCTCCATACATTTAGACAAAGGCTCACCGTCCCTCAACTTGCCCACGAGCAAGTCCTGAGAGCAGTGCAAACCAAGGTCCAACTTGAACAACCGAAAATGGAACGCGGCCAATTGGCTGCAATTTCTTTGGATTTCTCTCTGGGGTACATCTTGCCACCGACCTCAGACCGGGTGACTGTAACTGCAACTGCAACGAATGTCAGCGCAGGCGCCACAAACAATACCAATGGCCAATGGCTTACCTTGATGACACAAAAACATCAACCTTGAGAGCGCGACTCGAAGCAGTTCCTTGCCGTCGATCTTGATGCCAAACGAATTGTTGTTCTTGTAGTACGCTGGCGAACCCACCTTGGGCTTCGCCAGATCAGCAGCAGGACGCTTGCGGGGTAGCATCTTCTTTGGAACTGGTTCTGGTTTCGGAACTTCCTCCTCGTGTTCAGGAGCTGTTGGAACTGCAGCAGAAGCAGCAGGCTTCCTCAAAGCGGGTTTGCGCAAAGTTGTCCTCGGCTCCTGACTCAACAAATCTACAACGCGTAGCACGGTCTCGACAGTCTCAAATATGCACGAATCACAGACTATTACATTCACCGTACTAGTCCCAGCCTCCTCTTCCGTCGAAGATTTTGAAACTTCAGTGATGTGGGAAAGGAGCGGCATGCGGGATGATTTCCACAATCTTTCACAAAGATTCTATTTGAGCCGGCCTTCAACAATAAAGCTCTGAGTTGCTGGCCCATTCGATGATTTTTGATTCTACACATTATACTATACCCTGCAGGCAAACATCGTGGGGTTTTTTGCAAGTCACTCTCACTCCGAACTGCCAGCGAAATGCGCTCAAAACGGCCTACTGCATGTCAAAATGCAGCCCAACATCCACTGGCATCAAAATTAAGTCATGCTAAATCTCAAGCGGTCGCTTCAATCATTACATCGCCAGATTATTGGGCTGCAAGGAGTCTAAACTCACATAGCTTTGCGCTATGATCACCGCAGCATCACGGCTGACTCTGGGGGAATCTCAAAGCTGCAAAGCAAGTACACTTTCGGTTTCACAGCTTGGATCTTCGCAGGGGCCTTGGAATATTGAACCTGGAGAACGAGCGGCCATGAACCAGTCTACTATTATTCTGAAGCCTTTGGCAAAATCAACATTGCGGTATGTATTTCAACAATCGCATAGTAGGCACACTGTTTGCTTTTAAACTTTGTCATCGCCTCCCACACGACGGCAGCTGTCTTACCGCGGATGCACTTGTGGTAGTTGCCGTGATACAGGGCCCCAAGAACATGCCTCCCCAATTCGCTGGTGCCCTCCTCGATCGGGTTTGGCTTGAAGACAGAGGTGATCAAGGTGGGAGCTGGAACCACATTGTACCGAAAAGACACGGGAATTGCTGGCGCATCTCCAACCTCGATCAATCAATTGGCGTCAACTTTCAATTTAATACCAAGTGCAAGAACTTCGCATTTACCAAAAACATGTCACGCCGAAAATGACGAACGAACTCAACACTGTACGAGAAACTGCTGGGTGGTGCTTCTCTGTCAAGACATGACTTTCTAGCTCAACTTGCCCAAGTCCATGATCATTGGCAAGGGTCTTGAGGAACTCGCACAATGGGACCACCTGCTTGTTGTGAGAAATCAATGCAAAGTCATCCTGTAGCCTCCATACCACACCAGTTCCTTCTGTAAGGGCTTGCTGTTCACTCACGGCTGAATCTGTAAAGCTACCTGTGCCGAAGCCAAAAAGCTCGGATGCAGAGACGGTGATCGCAGTGCCTGAAGTGTTGTAGACCCACACGCTGAAATCCTGCATGATGGCAACGCTTGGCTTGCCGCTCTTGCCCATTGTGCTACCCAGCCTGGAATTTGGAAACAGCTACAGACTATAAACGATAATTGTAACTACAGTATTCGGCGTTCAGAAATTGAAACTGCTGTGTACTTTTGTCAGGTGTGCCATTTGTAATACAACGAGACAAAGACCTGCCTAGCTTTCTTGTTGAACTCCTCAAGGCTCACGATCTCAGGCTCAATCTCACGGTCGACATCCAGTGGCACCGCGCCAGAATCAATGGAATAGTCGCAAGCGCCTGAAACGCGATCATTGCCGCTGCTACGGCCTCCTTCTGGTCTTGCGGGAGGTGTCACACCAAACTCCTTTTCAAAGGCCACCTTCAGCCTCTGAAGCTCCTTGTACTCCACGGATTGGTGGTCAAACTTGGAGAACGCTTGTTCCGGAAAGCATGGCTTGCCTCCACGAAGCACGACGATGTCAAGCGGGAGATTGGCAAGGGCATTGGTTGCTTCCGAATCTTTCTTTGGCCTCTCTTTTGGTGGGGACGCTGGACAATCATCCCAGTGTTGAAAGACTTGGCTCTGGAGTGCATCCCGCAGTGGCTTGAACCCCTTCTGGATGATCCCGCAGTAGCGGAGAGGAACGTCCGACCCACGTAGCAACTTCATCACGATAGCCCGCGCAAACTCAGCATGCCTAATGGGTCGCTCTGCAAGATCCAAAAAAACATCGAGAATCCAATGACGTCAAAACCAGTTCCAACTACTGTTCCAACTTTCAAAGATGAAAATATCAAACAACCTAAAGAAGATCACTCAAACACCGCGACAATACAAGCAACCCCAGAAGGGTAACGACAGAAATGCGTGCCTGTTTGGTACAAGATCCACCCAGACGACAATATCTTTGTCAGGCTTGATGAAAGCTGGCTCTCCACGGAGGTAGCCATCAATAATGGCCGCGTGGACTTCCAAGCCTTTCCTTCGTTGAAAAAGTTTGCCATCTCTCAGCTTTCTTTTGCATGATTTGGTTTCCACATTCAACCCTCAACGTCTTGAACATGGAACTCAAGTGTTCAAAAATTTTTGAACCTTCACAAGTCGCTGCTCCACACGATCTGCAGGCCCAGGTTTGCAGTTCTCGTCGTAGTCAATAAAATCGACCACGCGCAGCAGGGGTATTGGCCCAATCCGTGCGTTGGCAATCATCTCTGAGACATTGAAGGCATTCGCGCTGGCAAACTGTTTGTGGGAGGCCGCGATGCACACCTGGTGACTGGCCCGTTGGTCTGTTCGACTGTCTGCCGGCCTGTCAAACAGAATAGCCACCCGCTTCCCCATGTTGATGCTATGCTTGAACAGCAGGTCCTCAATGGTGCGGGTGTGCTTCACTGTGCTCATCTCCGATGTTTGCTTGTGGAACATAGGAGTCTGGATGTGGCCAAGGTTGGTACTCCCCATGGCCAAGAACCCTGCTAGAACATTCACTGAAGTCTGTACGAGTTCAGCGTTGGCGGGGTAGACTGTGAAGTCAATGCCACAGATCAAATGCCTCGCGTTGTCCGACAAACTTTAAACACTTGAAATATCACGATGAAAGTATAACACAAATTAAACACAAATGCGTCCCAAATGACGATGCCCCAGCCCTTACGTCAAAGGAAAATGCAACAGTCTTGTCTTCATCAGCTCAGGAACACATTGCCAGCAGCTCCACGAAACTGCTCCAGGAAAGCCATCACATGCGCCAGCGAAGCATTGACATCTGACCCCCCTTCGATCAACTTGCAGTGCTCCGCCATCCACTTGTCAACATAGTTCTTCCCTGTCCTGAACCGAAACACATAGCAAATTGATGCATCACAACAATACGCCCCCCTGTGGCCAAAACATAAGTCAAATTTTTACAAGCAAAGTGGCACAAACAAATATGCCCAAATAATTGTCTGAGCATCTGTTGCCTGTCGCGCACATACTTCAAATCCTTTGCCGACTCAGAGGCCTGTCTTGAGCTATCCCCGATGACTGATTTCAAGGCCTCCATATCGCCTTTGATCTGGCTCTCGATCATGGCGAAAGAAGCTGCTGCCACCTGCCTCTTATACTCCTGCGCCTTGGTGTCCTTCTCCTCACGGATATTCTGTTCAATTCGTGCCAGGTGTTGCCTTCAGGGAAGCAAATTTCTTTTCAGTCTGAAGATAGTAAAGGCCAGTCATGCCCAACAATTGAACACGAAGACCGCGTTTTAGCGGGCCCTGCCTAAACGCAGCCACGCTTCGAAGGTCCAGCGGTGGCACCTGGTCATCTGCGATGTGCAGGAGCTCACCGTCCATGTACCCAGCGTCAAACTGAGACTCTAAGCTTGGCTTCAACTGCTTGAACTCCCCTGGAGGCACCGTCTCTGAAAACTTCTCCAAGCAGCACGTGAACAAACCAGTGGCCAAATGAATGCGGGCTGCATCCTTGAAAGGCATTGCTTTCCGGAGCTGCGGAGGAGTGTTGTCAAACGTGTACTCCAGGCGGGTGATGAAGCGGTCTGCCTTGAGAACTGATGTTAAACGGTGTCCAAAGTCCACCCATCAAATTTACACATCATTTTATTAACACATGAAAAGCAAGAATATAGTTGGGAACTCATGAGGTATCCTTTGTTCTTTCCATTCTAACTTGAGCGTGGCCAGTTTGGCACCTTAGCGCATCAAAATATGACAAGACAAAGACCAAGGCGCAAGGTTGCGCCCATTCTTGTTGGATGCATCCATAGCCCAACACTCTGCGGATCCAACACCTGATGTAAACGTATCGTTGAAGATCTGCTTCGACACCATGTCGTGTGTGATAAATCCTTTCATCCCCCGTGGACGGACGCTCTCACATAGTCGCTTGCGAATCTTGGGGTCCATGCCACTCATCAAGGCACACACTGCGCCCGCTTCGAGCTTTCCAATTTGGAAAGCCTTGGCCACCGCCGCAGCGTTTGACCAGTCCTGCCGGAGAAAGCTAAAAGCACAAAGAAATTGTCATTGCACGACGCCTTTTTAACAAACAAACGACAAGATTGTAGATCATGATTTCAAATTTTGACACAGCGGCCTCCAGGATCTTGTCTGCACTTGCCTTGCACCCTGAGCGCTGCATGACTTCCATCTGACGAAGCAGGTTAAAGCAATTCGGGGCCTTCCTCACAACGCTGGCCAAGGTAGCGCCTGGGAGGGACACGGTAATGATTGTTTGCGCTATGACCATTGCCATGCTATACTCCACAACCCTACTATAATCTACTATTATTATAAACTTGTCGCAGTATAGTTGAAACGCAGCGTAACGCAGCCCTTGCCTCGACTGACCTGGACCTTGCTGCGAGCGTCGGCTGCGTTCAAGGAAAGGTTGACATAGATCGACCCCATTGTCACCTGCACGTAACCAACAACCACCAAAAGATTGACCAGCCTTGGGTCTAAATACAACGCGCGAAACGCGGCTACAAGTTGGAAAAATGGCTGGACATATCAACTTATTTAATAGCAACCTTCAAAAAATGATGACAGATTGCTGAATTTCAGCAGTGAGTGACCCGAATAAAGTGCTCAATGTTCTGATCAAGCTGCAGCTCACGAATGCCCTGAAGTGTGATCAAAAGGGCAACAGATCTCTTCCAGCCTTTAATGTAAGCCAAGCTGAATGGCCGCAAAAGCGAGGAAGATTCAAGGAGCGGTTGGCACTCTGTGTATTCGGAGTCCAAATACTCTTGCGGTGGCATTGTGCAAGCCAACTTCTCGACAGCCACCAAATTAGGATCTGTGCGCATGCCCTCACTGACGATCAATTCAACCAATTGTTCGCATGTTTCCTTCTCAAAGTACCCCGCCAGTCCAAAATCAGACCGCCAACTAAGCATCCATGGTCTTGCGACGCCGGCACCCTCGTACGAACTGAGGTACTGGATCCTCAGAAGTTAAAAAGCCTCACTGACTCTGAATGTCGGCCGTTAAACCTCAGGTTTGAAGGTTTCAACGGTTGATTCAAAACAAGAATCTTTGGATCTGCGGGACAGAAGTCGTCCATCCATTTGGCAAAGGACACCATCGATGCCTTGTCCGGAAAAACAAATGCTTAATTATAATATCTTAGAATGCTTGTATCTAACCCCATCCATCAACCAAACGCTTGATGAGTGCAAATTGCAATGACAACTGCCTGGCCTGGTCTGGATATATCTGCGAAAGATACCGATCAGGTCCCCCTGCTGGGAACACCTTCTTCTGCAACCTCACGCTATCGACAAATCGCTTGGAATCTTATTTGCTATGTTATATGCTGTACAATAACTGCGACCCGCCGAAAATAACAGTAATGGGCATAATACTTGATTCAAAGGAAGAAACCAATCCACGAGCTTTGCGCCGTGGGTGATGTCATCATCCACGCCAGGCCCATCAGCACGCTTGGCTGATTTCTGACCCCCTTTGTCAGAGGCGCCGGATTTGCGCTTCCCTCCCATGGTGAGTCTGCCGTCTGCGACTCGGAAAATGGTAGCTCGCTGAGCCCGAACTAACGAAGAACGGCTGACCGAGTCTGCAAAATGCGTGTGTGGCTGACGCAGCCCGATCAAACTACTTTGTACGTGGCTATGCCCCCAGCGTTTTCCCAATCGTTGTGGCTCAAATGCTCCAGGTTTGCGGATGACCCGATAGTTAAAAACACATGAACCCATCTTTGCCCACATCACGTTCACGCAAGCAAAAACCAACAACAAAACGTGACAGTTGACTCGCCCCCGTAACATGGGTGGAAACCATTGCTTCAAAACAATTTTCAAAGTTGGTTCCGAAGCCCGGCAAGACCCCCTAACCACTCTAGAGACGACGACAACACATTTAAAACAAATATTATATATAAACAAATTTGAAGGAACCATCAGGGTCTCATCATAGTAGATCATAATGGACCAAAATGGCACAAAACATTAAAAGAACAAGCTAGGAAGAAAACAAGCAATTTTTTGCAAACGCCTTCTTCACCTGGTTCAAATGATTCTGGAAATTCTGCGTTGGCAATTTTCCTTTTCTGTTTGGGCAGAGAAATCTGACCCCCCCAAGTCCTCATTTGGCCCCTCCAAAATATGGGTTTTCAATAAGTGATGTTGGACTTCGTGGGGTCTGATTTCGTGGTCACGGAAATGCGGCATTTCGCGCTAATTTCCACTCTGCGCTGACCCTGGAACATCCATGCTCTCTCTCTCTCTCGAAGTCCAATTTGCCTGAGGTTCATGGGTCAGACAGGAGACCGGTGGCAAAACAGCAAATGTTTTATGGCTACAGAAAGACAAAGGAACCAAAGAAAAGATGGTCGCCAAGTGTTGAAATCTTTAGTCAATACCCCTTTTCAATTTCCCCACACACTAATAGAACGGTCAAAAAGGGCATCCAAAGGTCACCCTAAGACTTGGCAAGTGGTCGGACTTAGTAGTAGACACCTTTTTATTGACCAACAGCGCTTACCAAGTGATGTTTGAACCAAATTGCCCTTTCCCATCAAACACACGGGAGAATCCTGAACAATATTTTGCCCACCAGGCATTCACAAAAAAAAAATATATATATAAGAAACAATCTGCAGGCAGTGAACGATATCAATGAGGCACATATTCTTATTCTCTCGAGACATTATTTGAACACAATAATTTTGACTTTATTTGTGGATGGTTCTTAAGCGTTGAACTTCAGGTCATTGAGAATTCGACAGTTTGGATTTTGAAATATATATATATATATATTATGTAATCCCAAGTGTTTGATTCAGGTTCGATTCGACTCTCAAAAGTCCCAGGTGTCGGATTCAGGTTGGATTCGACTCTCAAAAGTCCTAGGTGTCGGATTCGGGTTGGATTCGACTCTCAAAAGTCCTAGGTGACTGGTGTCGGATTCAGGTTGGATTCGACTCTCAAAAGTCCTAGATGTCGGATTCAGGTTGGATTCGACTCTTTATGCCCAAGAGGTTTTAGCACATATAATAGGAATACTAAGTGTCGAATGTGAGGTCAGATTCGACTCTCAAGCCATGTTTGAAAAAGAGGGCTATAGGTGTCGGATCCGACCTCACATTGGACACTTAGGGCGTTGCCCACACAAATGGCCTTAACGTCAAAACAAAATTTCAAATCCTGGTTGGAACCAAACCCCAGCTCAAGTGTCCAAAGCGACCTCGGATCGGACACCTAATCGCTATTTCTGAGACCCCCCTTTACGTGTCGAATTCCTTCCTTGCTGTTTTCTGATTGGAAGTAAGACTTGTGACACTCTCAAGCTTTGAGCAAGTGGGCTTGACAGGCTGCTGACTGTCAATTGTCACATGAGCTCACATAACACCCCGTAAAATACCATGCCGCACCCCAAATACCATGCCGCACCCCAGGCTGAGACCGTTTAGGGTTTAGGGTTCCGCCAATTTAGAGTTTGAACGACCGTCAATTGTTTTTTTTGTGTTAAACGCTCAAAAAAGTCTGCGAGGCTGACAATGTTTTCCCTGATTTGCTAGCTGCGGTGCCCCTTGCCACGGCCTTTGCCACCCTTTTGGGACGGGCCGCCAGCCTTTTGAGCAAAGGCTTTCCTGCCTACCTCCAAAGACTCTTCCCATGAGAGCCCGTTTGCCCACAAGTGGGCTGCTGCTTGAAGAACAGCTCGCTCACCGTAAAGTTTGATCTCCTTTGCACGCTTTTCCGGAGCCGCAAGCCTCGCCAGGAGAAAAGGGGAAAGTCAGGAGTGAAATACAAACCCGAAAACATAGCTCGCAAGACCAAATGAACAACAAACAATCAGTTTTCGCTGCTGTTTTATCGTCAATATTGCCTCAGTTTGTTCGGGCGAACAAAGAATGAAGCCGGTGCCAAAAGCCCAGGGAGAGCATGAGAATAGTTGGCCAGCGTGCCCCCAAATCGAAACCTAGGATAGAACAATTCAATTCGTTTCTCAATCAAAATGATGGACGGCCAGGCTTGGAAGGAAAAACGCAATGCAAGAGAAGGAGATCTAAACTGATAACAACTGATCATCCAAGCTCGGAGCCCGTTCAAAGCAAACAACGGTTGCTTGGGCAATGTGCCCTCCAGCCACTGCTCCAAATAGTCCCCCGCTCGCTGCAGCCCAATCTCAGGCTCCCGTAGTATCGGAATGTATTTGGCTACGTGCTCCCTGTACTCGTTCCCAAGATCTTTCCGATCAGCCACAACTGCCAGAGAAACTTCATGAAACTTCTAAAGCTGCCATGGCCCGAAAACTAAACAGAGAAACTTGTTTGAAAAAAAGTCCTCTCCATTATGGTTTGTCCAATGGAACTGGTTCTAGACTAGAGAACCTGGCCTTGTGGGAGGCCTTGAGGAAGGATCTGTTCAGCAAGTTCTCGAGGGTAGAAACGAAAGGCCCGGGCAAATCGGTGATCTGCCATCCACTGCTTCGTCCTGGAACAGTCCCAGCTAGAACCCATCTTCAAAGCAACAAAACCGCAGCTTGAAGGCCCTAAATGCCACAACAGTATAGTATCATAGGAACTTGAATGAATTTGCCGACATGGGTCTGAAGAATGACGTCGTGCGGGTGATCCCGATACTTCCGCCAGTATGCCGCGTGGCTAAGGTCCTTGAGCTCGACTCCTCACCCGCGAAGCTTGACGAAAGACTCTCACACAGCCCAGCAAAAAAAATAATCTTCACCACATATTCACTACCAGGCTCAAACCTCTACACAACGACAATTGACAACCATCATGATCATGACCAATACTCCGTCCTGAGTGGCAGAACCGAGTGAATTGAAACATGTGCGGAGCTCCAGGTCCGCCGACCCCTGTCATCGACACAGGGATCCCGGTGAGAAGCCAGCCACGCCTCGGAAGTCCGTTTGCAGAATGATCGGGACACAGAATCAGTTAAAAGTAATATCTAAAGAACGAGCGCATCACGGCTCTCCGAAACCTCCGTGGCCACATACCCCCAAAAACCCTTATCAAAAGTGCACGTACCAACGATCGGAATCGGAATCAAGAGGCCAATCTCTGACATTGTCCAGTTTGTATACGTACCTGTCCTTTTCAAACGGTCGCTGCATGTGAGTCTGGCTGAACTCTGTCAAGCTTTCCACGAAGTCGCTCGACGTTAATCTGCACCTCAACTTCTTCAAGTAGGACGCGATTTGTCCAAAAAGTTGGTCTATGTCCTCGTGGCTGTGTCCGCTCCTGAGTGAAGAAACACTCAGGGAGCGGACACAGCCACTGCTCACAGCTCCTGCACACCAGCGAAATACATGGTTATTCTTTACCTCCCGACACGTGTTATCGCACTGGATAACCACGCTTGTCTGGGCGAGCTCCACCCGCTGGCTCAATAGATCCAGACACTTCGACAGCATCTCCAGGGACGTGTTTGAATCCTTGCACACGTCGTGCTCTGTAACAAAGATTGCAACGAAATAGCCGTGGCAAATTGCCGCGGCCAAGTGAAGCCTTGGCCTTGAAAAGCCGTTCAACGTTTTCGTGTGCACTGACTTGTGTCTAGGGACGCAAAACTTTCCTTGGTCCATACCGTCTATTATCACAGTCACCTCGTGACTGTGAGAGCGGCTCTCACCTCTATTTTGCCAGTACACGACTCGGTCGCGGAACTGGTCTTCCAGGTGCTGGTGGAACAAACCTTGTTGTGTTGGCCGCGCATTGAGGTGTCCTGAGAGAGCGCTGATCAGGGCCTTGTGCTTGTAGCATTCTGTGCAAACGCTATGGCTTGAAGTTCCTCTGAATTTCATGAAAGAATAGTTTGCCGCCCAGACCTCTTCAGAGGCTCACAGAAAAGCTTCTTACACTTACAATGGCAAAACACCTAAGGCCTAAGGCTTCTCACCCGGCAATCGTCACTCAACCAAAAAAAGACTTGCCAAGTACTTCACCAGGAAACGCGCCAAAAACAGGGGAAGCTGGCTGGCTTTTCTAACCCAGATTGGCGAACATATTGCACATGATACTCTCGCATTGTACCAGGCGGGAGGTACCGCTCTTCGCAAACAGCGGCGCTTCTCCCTGGCCTAATGAGAACTGATTTTCTCATTTTCCTTGGTTTTGGCTTCGCTTTGGCCTTCCCAGTCGGATTCACAAGACCAGGAGCACCCAGCGAATCCAACTTTTTGGCCAGACTAAAATCTGCATAGGGTTCAGAGTCAGCACCCTGGAGTTTCACATCGATCCTGTGCATGGGTCCAGCTTCAACTTCATCGTCGGACAATGTATCATCACGCACATCTGGTAAGGTTTCAGCCACGCTGCAATATACCTTTTGTAAAAAACCAATCACATCTGCTGTCAGTTCACAGCTCCTGCGGTTGTCGTACTTTCGAACTTTCAAGAACCTCAAATCAGCTGGCGGCGCTTGCCTCCCTTCTCTCACGGCAGTTGCCAACTTGTTGAAGCGGGCGCTTCCTCAATTTCTAATTATTAACGAAAACACGGCGTTTTCACTTTTGTACGGTTACGAACCTAGGTTATATATTATTGTTGTATGGTGTTACACACTGCCAGAACCATGAACTTTCAGTCAGCTCTGTTACAACTGTTGTTATTTCAAGCTTAGTAACCAATCCCATGCAATTGCCTCCACGATTTGAAGCACACAGGACGCCCCAAAAACTTCCAAGCGCGATTGGATTTGCCTGATTCGGCCCTGGCCGTCTCCACGGATTTGATCGCATCAAATACCTTGGGGCCAGCAAAGCACGGCGACAATAGGCTTTATGTTGCATAGCAACGCGCGCAAAAGAAATCAAAAGAGGATCAACAAATTACATCAGTAGGTAAGTTGCCATTTGATCTCTATCCAGCTTATGATACGCTTTCCATTTCTTTCGGAAAGCCAGAAGCGACGAGAAGTTTGCAGCGGATCTAAAATGATCTTTGCATCGCTTGGTACATCCCTGTGCTGAACAAGGCTTGGAAAGCATAAGCTCGAGTTGCAAAGGATCATCAAATTGAAACCTGGCCTTTCGCTTCAGGCCCCTCTTGGGCGCCGGCTTCTCGTCTGATTCGGAATCTGAAACTTCAGTAACTGGAGGCGGCGGCATCAGAGTCAAAGCCAGAAGCAGCCACGGCAAGCAAAGCAAAAGTGCCCGCATCACGACAACATCGAGTTCAATCACGCAAGGCCGAAACTAACAATGATGCAGGTTTTATTATTTCAACACGTTTGTCTAACTGTCGTGTTTGCCCTTAGCCTGGAATTGCAAAGGAGTGACAACTTCTTCTGGCGATTCGCTGACTATGTTGTTTGTTGTGTGCCATGACAAAAACCTGGGCCAACGCTGTCGTGGACACGCAGCCCTTTGGCTGTCACAAAAAGTGGATTTCGATACCTCCAAACCTTTAACGGCAAGATTCAAGACACGACCTGAAAGGAACAACCAGGAACAAAACGGCTCTCAACAAACAAAACACGTCAAATCAAACAGCATAATATGTTTGTGATCTGCGTGTAATGTCACCCCCTACTGTTTGTGAGCACGTCACGTCTACTCGCTGGTTCAAACACTAAAGTTCACACCAAATCAGTTCGAACGACTGACCACAAAGAGCAATGGCTGTCTTTCTCGCGCGGCTTTCCTGCAAGTATAAGTGCGCACCCTGTGACACCCGGACCTGGACGATGATCGTTCAACGATTCAACAGTCTTCAGCAGCTGCTGGGTGCGTCATTTTTGCCACTGGGATCAGAAGCTTGGTCCTGAAAAGGTAGCCCACATCATATGCCCACATTACAATCAAATTAGTTTATATGTTGTATGTCTTGTTTAAAGGGGGTCTGAAAAAATGTTTGTCGCACGACGCTTCTCATCCAAATACTCAAGTCCTGGCTTGCGGAAGCACAGGGAAACCATTCTCGATAAGTCCAAGACCATCGCCACCTCACTCAAAAAATAATGGTAAAACGGTAAATTGGTGTTGAAATAGGAAGGAATGAGCATCCGACAATTGTCCATGCCAATACGCAGTCACAAACGTGTCCAGCGGAACCCTCAGTGTCTCAGTAATCAGCGGGCCATACTAAGAGCGGAGATCTGACAGAAAACTGCTTCAGACTTTCATCAACAAAGTCAAGAAACAACACTGCGTTGAGACCAGTGGTCCTAACTTTCCCACATGTAGGTCCAGGTGAAGCGCGGCGCGGCTCCGGCGGATGCGAAGCTTTACGCTTCATCAGCGACGAAACTCTCTCCCAGTCGAACGATTCGAGTGTGAGCTGCAAACCAAAAAAGACACAATTGTTTCAAAGTCTTCCAGTACTAAAAACGTCTAAAAACTACCTCTCAGAACTCACGAGCTGAAGGCTGAAGCCACGATTGTTCAGACTTGAGATTGAAGCCCCATGCAATCAAGTTAGCAGCCATGCGTCAAACGTTCATGTCGACACAATATGAAAAGGTGGGCAAAATTGAGACCTGCGCGCGTCGTTCCTAGCTGCATGCGTTCATGAGGTGCCTGCTGTCAAATGCATTGAATTTCACCTCGCGAATTAGAAAAAGAAACAGGACATGTTTCAAGTTTCAATCAGACGGCTTTCTTGCCATCCCCAAAGCGATTGAAGCGCCAACTCGGGCACACGCAGGAACTACCACGTTGCCAAGAACAGTCATTCTCTCAGACTGGTCCTTCGCTGGCTCCTCCAAAAGCCATTGGTGCATTGGGACCTTATTCAAATCATTCCATGCCCCTGTCTGATGCAAGAGCGCAGCCATCGGAAGCAACTCCAGGTCCTGACGCTTTCTTGAAATTAGACAATTCGGGCAAGGGCCAAAAAGCATCTGAACAACAGTCCTCAACCATCTTGTCACGCGGCTTGACGCCCCAAAGGAACACACGATCACGGTTTGCCTCAAATAGACTCACCATGCATTCATCTTAGAACTGTGGTTTGCCTGTGAAACTTTATGTTCCAGGTTGTCCAAGGGGCTGCCAGTCCCACGTTGACAAGCGCCACCGTTGCCCAATACAAGGTCATGCTACGCGCTGCGGTCTCCTGCAATAAAACATGAAAACTATTCCGAAGTACGCTTGAAAAACTATCAATACCGGGCCTGGACAATATAATGGAAGAGCTGCCTCATTGATCGCTTCTTCCCCAACAGCGCCTTGACGTTCTCGAAGTATAAGATACGCCTCCCATTTCAAACAACAAACCGGTTTGCAGCAGCTTTGGAGTTACAGTTACTAAATGGCCCTGTGGCACCTGTGATCACGCGGAAGGGTGTCAAAGACTCGAAAAATCTGATGCACCAATTTGGTGCGAGGGTCTGACAAACCGTGTTGCTTGCCAGCCGTGGACACTCCCTGGCCGCACGACATGAAAAGGATCCACGACTGTTCCAAACAGTTCGGAAAATGACACGTTTGACTCAATGAGCTTCTCGTTGAAGTCACAATTCTCTGAAAGCAACCAACCCTGGCCTGACAGGGGAACCCACCCCCACAGCCCTGTGCACCAGACGTGGCAGCGTTATAGCTGCACACATCCTCGTGGATCTCAGCTTTGTGCAGCAAGCCGTCGGCCATCCGAGCTCGTAGAATCTTTTGGCAGAACTCGTTTTTCTCCACCTCAAGAAATGGCGCCCAGAGTTCCAAGGTTTGGCAGACCATCAACCTAGTACCAACCAAGTCTGAGGCAAAGGTGGTGGCATAGACGTACCTGCAAAAATGTGCTGCATAGTAACGCCAACTCGACATAAAAATATGTTCTTAAGACTGTGCGAAACCCGAACCACGTTAATATATCGAACGCTAAATTTTGAACTTGATGTCAGAATTCTTGCTGGCAAGGACGTTGCGCCTGCTCAAGCCAAGCTCAAGGGCGCCGCAGCCAGCAAACATGGCCACAACACCGATCTTGTTTGCCTCCAAGGGCTCTCATTTCGACATGTAACATAGTCAATTGGAGCAAAGCACCTTGCTTTGCATCTCTGGAAACTGCTGATAAAACTTCACTTTGTCCACTGCGCCGCGCTCCAAAGATGTCCAATTCAAAGGTAGGCCTGCCAGTAGCATATTGAAAAGTAAAAAACTCAATACTGAACAACTTTCACAACAGGGCTCCGACACGACAAGCACCAAATGACCAAGCCTGAAAAGTATTCCCCCGCCAAAGGGCTCAAGAATTTCCCGGGCTTCTGGCTGGCCATCTTGCAGGCAGTCGCGTAATCTGCACTCCATCGAATCTGATTGGCGAAGTCCTTACAAGTGGCTTCAATGGCTAGCATGACATGCCAGTAGTTGAACATCAAATCAGGTTCCGGCACAGATTCCCCGACAAGTCGGATTCGGGCTGGCCCGAGTGGTGGCTGCAAACACACCTGGGAAGTACGCTGAAAAAATTCAGGTTTGTCAAACCTATCGTGCCTGTCACTGTCCAATTTCACTGACACAAGGGGGACTAAGACCGGGACGGACGCAACTCCAGCTTTTGAACTGGCGAGTTCCCCTGAAAAGTGGCGACTGCACCTGGCGCCCCCTTTTCTGAGCGCTGGGTTGGGTCTTTGGACCAACCACCTCAGAAAATCACAATTGAACGAGCGATGACTTCAAGCACTTATATATATATATATATAACGAGCGATGACTTCAAGCTGCACGCCTGGGGTCCCTGACTCGAAGTCGGAGCTTCTCGGCTTTGGGAAGTGTCACATTCGAAGCTGTGACCGTGAGAGTTTGCTTTGATTTGGCAACTGCTACGCCAAACTTGGGCAGAACTTGAACCCCACGAACTGACCACAGCTTGCTACAAGACTTCCTCACCGCCTTCAGGCTGCGCTTCTTCATCGCCTAGAGCTGGGCGAGAAGCAAAGATTCCCACTTCATAAGGCAGAAACAGTACCACCCAACAGCATTAAAATCAAAAACCAAGCCAAATTTAAGTCTGGCTGGCCTTCAAAGCAGATTTCATTGGCCTGGCTACCGTGGACTGCGTTGTGCGCCTCAACCGAACTTGACAAATAAATCAACTAAACAGCAACACTAGGTTATAGGTTTAGCCTTCACCAAGCCCAGTGGTCAGAAAGAACTGAGTGGAGCGCCGTGCCGGATCATAGTCTTCTGGCTCGGATTCCGTGGCCGCAACGACTTTGCTTACAGGCATTTGTAACAAAGCTGTTGCAGCGACAACGTCAGCAAACCCTGCAAGTAAAAACTGGCGGTCTGAGCCAAGAATAGCTGAAAACAGTTGAAATCCCGGCTCTGAGGGTGCCACATCATGGCTGCCTACTAGTGACCAAAAGGCGTGATCATTGATTGATCTGATTTGAAATAGCAACTGGCAAACGATTCCGAAAATGCGGTTTCTTTCCAATCTGCTGTAAAACAGGAAATCTAAATTGGTCTGCACCAGCCAAAGGCTCATGCCATCACCTTGTCGTTCCAAAAACTAGTATTCAGTTTGCCTGTTGTCAAACTGGCCCCCACTCTGGGCTGACAAAAATCCACTGTGACTCAGACCCTCTCAGACTCACGGTGGCAATGCAACAAAGCCCTGAACTTGGGGCCACAAATCTCCACGATTGGCACGACGATTGGCATAGCGGACCGCCCATGAATCTCATGTTCGAAAACACGAGACTGGTCGCGCAATGTCATCGTCTCATTTGGCACTATGATCATGTGATCACCAAAATGTTCAAAGTTCTCTGCGTACAAAGCTGTTCGTTTGTCAGGTTCATCACCGTGTCGCGGCCCCATGAAATCCTCCAGGAAGGTGCCCGCGTTGCCAAACAAAAGCCTCCAACAAAATGGTTCAAAATCTATTCACTACACACGTCCATCTGACTGTGACTGACTAATGGACAGGTCAGCTTCCGAGACCAAGGACTCGGCACATTTCTGAACTTCTGTGTGTCAGACGGCTCAGCTGTGAGGACGCAGCAGGGGCGATTGCCCATAGAGGTGACATAGCCTCGAGTATGGAACATGCTTGGAGCTAACATTGACAAACGACCTTGAGTAACATATCCTTGGGTATCGGCAATAAGAACAATTGTTTAAAGCAAACAATACGACGAAGGACAATCCTGAAGTGAAGAACATTGGAAAATTAACTTGTCAGTTTTTTCGGGGCGCCTTCCTCCAAGCGCTTGTAGAAGAGAAAGAACGAATCAGGACTCTTCACAATCCTGAAACTACCACGCCTGAAAATCTCCTGCGCATTTGCTGTTTGCTTCAGATTGGATTCTAAGGGCAAGTGCACTAAGTTAAGTACAAACATTGCGCAAATGGCCAATATGTCCTTCACGCGTTCGCCGGGAAGATAGTGATAGTCGTCGCCTGCCAACTTCCACTGCGCATGAAACGTGCTGCGCGACGCAGTCTGACATCAACAGTATTTTGAGCATCATCTGACCGAATCTGAATCCGACTGTGGCCCGCAAACCGCCTTGAAGGTCTGCCGCATCGGTTCTGGCCTCCGCCAAAACCGACTCATTCTAAACTTAATTCTTTAATTTTAATTGTGACAGTTCCGCAGTACGACTCAGGTGCGCCTTCAACTCCACGACGCCCTTGTCCAGGAAACGTCGGTAAAAACGAGTGCGCCCGCGATCGGTCTGCGCTTCAAGAACCGGCAGTTGGTCCAAGTCGGCCATTTCGCGGGTGGCGAAAAAGACTGAGGATCTGTGGCTGAATCGAGCTATCACTGGCTGGCAAGGAACGAGCGCTAGGAAAAAACGTTTCCAATAAGAGCCACTGTCAAACAAAATGTGACGCAGCTCGTCGTACTTACAGCTTACCCTCACCAAACCCACAAACCACAGGGAAACAAAGGATGTGACATTCGCTGCGCCTTGAACATGAAACTTCATCCATAACACCGCCCAAAAAAGTTTCACGTGATCCCTCGGTAAACACATTAAATGCAACAAGGTTATAATCAACAAACGACACGTTGATATGTTTTAGATCCGGCCGTTAACTCTATGGCTCTATGGGGTGAAAGGAAACAGGCACATATCACATGGTATCTGAAATAACAATTTTCATGCGTAGACACGGTAACTGCGAGAGGTGGATTCCTCAAAATCATGGGGCGTCTCGCAAGCACATGAAAGTTTAAAGGCTGATGGGCAATATGCTTGTCACTGAAAGTGACTTGACAACAAGTTGCCAGGCAGAAGCAAAACCATTGGTCATTGTGACTGACATGACCACACTGGTCATACCATTGGTCATTGTTGCTCACTGTGACTTAAATGACCACACTGGTCATACCCTCAGAACGCCCACTAAGAGTTCCCAACCCCAGTTCAATCCCCAACCCCAGTTAGACAGAAAATTCCTTGGGTAGAGTCTTGTTCGCAACCCGTTGCTTCTATGTTCGCAACCGTCCGCAACCGTTCGCAACCGTTCGCAACCGTTCGCAACCGTTCGCAACC